TAACACCCACCTTTTCTAGCATCAGATTAATTTCTAACTCAGACTGTACCCGCTGGGTCATAATTTTGTATGGTGCAAATGAGTTTTTTGCTCATTCTCTCACCACCACCCCCTTCTCTGTCAAGCACTGTTTTTCTTCAATTCTTGCAATATACCACAGCTTGCTTGGTTCAGGTGCAATAGCAATCTAATATTTGCCATTCAATCGAAAGGTGAGGGAGAAAATGGATGGAAAAGGGAGAGAAAAGGGGAAACTAGGCAGCTACAAAGCTTATTCTGATAGCACTATACCATGATTTGACATTAAGTCAGAAACAACAAATTTTTTGGCCAGGGAGACGAAAAGTCTCCTCCCCCCCCCCTTGGGGAAGGGAAGAAACCAATCACTGTCTTGAAGGGTTCTCAAGAAAATAAATCTGTGAGCTAATTGTTTTGCATTCGCTTTGCTATGAATGTGGGATGCGTATTAAAATGCATGTTTTCCAATTAGGTAATAGTTTCCAGCAGTGAAGTAGTAGCACAGCAGGCTTGCTAACCCCCCCACCCCCACAGCTGGAAATAAACAGCATATTACCGGCATTTTCATTAACAGTGAAATGGAAGGAGGCTATTGTTGAAGTATCTAATTTATTTACAATAAAAAGGTTGTCCCTAATTTTCAAACTTAATTATTCAGTTATGTTGCTTACAATTCCTTTAGAATAAAACACAAATTTAACCCACTGATTCTCCTATATTTAACAATTCCAACAACTTCACCTTTCCCTTTTCTTCTGATCTCCCATCTGTTTAGGGACGACTTCTTGGGCCAAGGACCTTTTCTTTTGTATTCCTTAAAAAAGGAGTAGGTAAAAAGAACTCTAAACGTTTTGGATTGCAACTTCCAGCATACTTGATACCTTACATCAGTTACCAGATCCCCTCCCTCCCTTCCAAGTGGTCCCACTTCCTGTCTCTCCTTCCTCTTCCTATTTACATGAAGGTAGAAGTCCTTTTTGTTGCTCTTGACATTCTTCACAAGTCTCAGCTCATAATCAGCCTTAGCTTGTCAAAAATCCTTCTGCATCGCACCTCCCTGCCCCCACACCCTTTTGTCCACTTGCCCCAGTGACCATTTCCTGTGGAGGTCCCTCTTCCTTCTAATCCCTCTTACAAACTCTATTTGCATCCATATAGGCACCCTCCTACACCTCTCTGCTTTGCTAATCAGGGGTATTGTTAAGGCTTGTGCCTCTAAGGCCTTCCTTTTTAGAGCCATTCACCCATTTTGAACTCCCTTGCCTTCTAATACCCTCTCCCAGGTTGAAAAATCCTGCCTTCATAGCTTCTAGGAAGCAACAGGACCTAACCACCACCAAGTGTGTCTCCCAACTAATACCAGGGATGTTGAAGTCTCCCATTATAACTGTGTCCCTTCCCTGGGATATCCTTCCAATCTGGTCTATCAGAGCATCCTCCAGGGTCTCAAATTGACCTGGTAAGAGATAACATACAACCACTATCAGATCCTTGGTCAACTCCAGACCCATCAATCTTACCCACATTGCCTACCCCTTCTACCCCACTCCCTATTTCATTGCACCCTATCCCTTCCTGAACACATAGTGTTAAATCCCCTCCCCTCTTTCCCCGCCTACCCTTCATAAAAAGCATACCCTTCTATCTTAGCACTCCAATCCTGCTTTTCTCCCCACCATGTTTCCATAATCCCTACCAGGTCATACCAGCCTATTCCCAGGAGAGCCTTGAGCTTTTCTTGCATATTTCCCATGCTCCTAGCACTGGTGTACCTATATCGCCGTTCTTTCCCACAAACCCCATTCCCTGGCTACCCTGATCTCCTTCTTCCTGCTGGCCTCCCTGGCACACTACTACTGTGTAGTAATCATGCCAGCCCCTATGGTTCCTAGATCACCCTGCCCCTTAGACCTTGATTCTCTTCCTCCACCAGTCCATTCATGATTGGTTTCTGAGGGCCCTGATCCCCCACTCCCGGATCAGTTTAAAGTTTTGTGGACAAAGCCTGCTAAAGCATTCCCAAAAAGTCTCTTTTCCCATCCTGGTGAGGTGCACCCTGTCCCTCCCCTGAAGTCCATCGGTGAGGAATTGGCTGCCATGGTGAAGGAACGCAAAGCATCCCTTCCAACACCAGGTCCTCTTTGCATTCCCTCCAACACCAGGCCCTTAGCCCATCATTCCTCTCCACAACCCTCCTCTCCCTGGTTGGTCAATGTCCATGGACAGGCAAGAGGAAGGAAAATGCTGTCTGAATCCTCAGGTCCTTGAAAAACTTGCCCAGAGCCTCAAAGTCCCGAGTGATTCCATCCACCCCCTGCCTGGCTGTGTCATTTGTCCCCACATGGATCACCAGAAGCATCTGATGACACCCTGAGGGAAGAAGATGCTCCAGTCTGTCCGTCACATACAGGATGCAAGCACCTGGCAGACAGAAGACCTCCCTTGCCCCTATATTTGGCCAGCACACTGCTGCCCCAGTACCCCTTAGTAAGGAGTCCAAAGACAATGACCTGATGTCATGTGCATGCGTTCTGGAAAGATTCCCAGGGCACATAAGAAGCTGACCATTTTGGCAGGGCTGACAGCTCAGACTCTGAAGATGGCATGTATGAAGGGGAGTTTGCTGACCCTGGCAGGGCTGACAGTGCAAACTCTGATAACAAAATGGCTGTTGTACTGGATGCAGCCCCAGCTACAGCCCTAGGTTCTCTGTAGCCAACTGTGCCTGCTGAGGATGAGATTACTTCGACAGCCAAGGGGCCCAGTCAACCCACCTGTGGAAACGAAGAAGAACAACATCCTGAGAGAGGGGATTTAGAGAAGGGGAGTCTCTTGGGAGGACAACTCCAGCCTCCTGAGGAGGTGGATCCAAAAGGCTGGTGTCCAGCTACAGCATAGCCCAACTGGGATCTTGGAGTGAAGAATGCAGGCACACATGGTTCCACGGTGCCCCTCCTTCCTGAGGCAGGCACAGAAGAGTTCATAAGGAAGGCTTTGGGTGAAGGGGGCAGAAGAAGGTTCAACGTTTCACTTTGTGTATGCTCAGAGACTTCTTTATAGAATAAAGACATTTACAAGAAGTGCTGGAGAGTCTGTCCTGCTGGGGAGGGAAAACCTAGCTCACAACACAAGTTTCCTTTCATTCGTCCAGTGGAGATCGGGGACCACACATTAGCCCCTATGTCTCTGACAGTGGCACCCTGCCCATGTCTGAGCTCAGGCTGGGCTTCCTGAGCAGGCTGGTCCCCTGGGGAACCTGCAGCCCCAGTCTGCTCAAGCAGGGAAAACCTACATCAGGGAAAAATCAGTGTGTGCAGATGGAGGTCGTGGTGCTGGCGCCTCCTGAGGGTGACATGCCTCCACATCTCCCCTGCTGATTCCCTGGTGGCTCCTTTCTCTTTGTTCTGTCTGGAAGGGGGCTGCCGCTGGCTGGCCTGGAGGACCTCCTGGGCAATGTCCAGGAACTGTTCCCCACCCCTTATCTCCCAGAGGGAGGTGATGTCATCCTCCAGACCCTTCACCTTTTCCTCAAGGAGGGGCACCAGCTTGAACACCAGCTTGCACTTAGTGCAAGTGTATTCTGGCTCTTCCTGGGGGAGGAAGACAAACATTCCACAGGAGCTTCAGACAACCAACACACCTGCTGCTCCCGCCATGGCTGTCTCCTGGCCTGGCATAGGCCACCCCTCTACTTGCTGTGTGCACCCTTGTCTTTCCTGCACTATGCTACCCTTGCTTGAGGTGGAGAACCATGCTCCCTCAATGAAGACAAAGTCTCTGAAGAGTCCCCAGGCAACCCAGGCCACAACCAAGGGATGACACCCTTGTCACATCGCCATTGGTGCCAACAATGCCTGAGTGTGGCTTTAGAAACTCAGAGGCCAGTGGCCCCGCCCCTCTGCTTCCGCCTGGGCCTCTCTGGCCTCCCTAGCCCTACCTCCCTTTCTCTTCACTCCTCCTGTCCCCCAGATCCTCTGCCCTTGCCTTCACAAGTCCTCTAGGCATTCTTTCCCCACACCCCTGGCCTCTGCTGTTCTGCTGCTTCTGCCATGATCCAGAAGATCATGATCTAGGCTACAATCCTAAAGACACCTTCCTGGGAGTAAGGTCCATCAATTCAATGGGACTTACTTCTGAGTAGAGGTTTGCACTGTTAGAAACATTTATTTGAAATAGCAGTATACAGTTTAGAGCAATTGGCTTTTAACCACCAAAGACAGAAGTTGCATTTGAACAGTTTATCATTACAAGAATAAGCTTGACCTTACTTAGAATCCACATGCTCCCTTCTCAGTGTGGCCACAAAGAATGGAAGCCACAATTTAGCATCCTATCTGAACCCTAAACTGTAGTTGATCTTCAACTACGGTTAGTAGAGGAAAAACAGCTTTACCAATTAGGGTTTCAATGTGGTTTGTTTTCACTAGCTATAGTTAAATTAACCACAATTTGGCTAGAGAGTTGTGGTCAATCTAAAATGAAAATGAGAACTTTCAATGTCTTGTTCATGGTTATATACAGAGCAAAGAGCATGTCAGAATGTTAGCCTAGGGTGACAAGGATTCAGGATTAACCTGACATCAAGTAAAGTTGCTTTAACATCTTGAGAGTCCTTTCACGTAGAATTGTAAACATAAACACTACTAGTCTCGCTGGCTATGCACTACCTCTTTACCAGTGGTGGCATGCTTGCATTCACCAGTTCCTGAAGACCTTGGGCAGGTGGAGGTCTTGTCCCATCCAACTTGAGGGATCCTGTGGGCAGTTAGTCTGCCACCCTGTGAATGGAGGTCTGGGCTAGATGGTCCATTGGTCTGATCCAGCATGGCTTTTCTTACATTTGTACAACAGTAATATTTCAACATGCAAAGCAAAAGTCATTTTTATCACAAACATAAACAGTTAGGCATTAAAATGGCCAGCAATATTCCTACTTTAGCAACACAAACTGCGCACATTCTGTTTAATAACTAATTACTCACACTTGATTCAAAGCTGCAGACACTGACGGCATCTTCATCTTGGGTGCTCTGCTTGCGTTTTTTCTACAAGAAAAGAATAATAACAAGACCTCAGTAATAACCAACCAATTTATTATGTTTTTATTTTGCACCCTACTGCATTATGAAGCCTTTTCAAGTAAAGTATGCTTGGTTTCTGCAAAGGCTCACGCCCTGTCTGTACACACAAATTTATGTCAGAGTTTATTTGATTGATATCCTGCTTTTTTCTCACAGTGAACTCAAAGTGGTTTATATCATTCTCCTATTCTCACAAGCCTGTAAGGCAGGTTGGGCTGAGAGTCTGTGACTGGTCCAAAGTCACAGAGTAGGCTCCATGGCTGAGCAGGGACTAGAACCCAGATCTCCTGAGTCCTAGTCCTATGCATTTTAATCACTAAAGGAGATATCCAGTCAAACCCACAAACTGCTCTTCTAACCCAGCCTGTTGAAAGCGATAAGTTCTAATACCCTTTCTCTTGTCTCACCAAATTCCTAATTTTGCTTTTTGAAATTAAGAAAGTTTAAACAATCATTTGGAGGTTCTGCAAGGACACCTCCTATAAACTTATTGCTGAGAAAAACCTGAGTATTCAGGCAGTGTGTGTGCCCTTCTAATACCTAATCTATAACTACTTTGTCAACTTTTGCATAAACAAGATGTCCTGTTCCCTACAACTTTGTTCTTAAAGCATAGGGGGTTTTCTTCACTGAATTTTAAATGGAGAAAATAGCATATTATAATCATAAAATAGGAAGTAACTCTATGGTGTCCGCTGTTCATTTCCTGTTACTACTCAATTAATAAATTTATTTTATGGCACAACAAACATATTCATAAAAGAAGAATGATAGTAATCTCATTTTTAAAGATGGTAAACTCATATACTAAAATAAGTGCTATTATTATAGAATCTATTTGGTGACACTGTATTTTAGAATGAATGTCATAATAATTTAAAACAGTATTATTGCTTGCTTGCTCGCTCACTTGCTCACTTGCTTGTTAAATTTCTAACCCACCCCACTAGCCACATGGCTTCCTGGGTGAGTTACAACGGTAAAACCATACCAAATGCTATAGAACAATACAATAAAACACCTCAAACATTAAAATGTCAATAGAAAAACAATAAAAGTGCAACCACCAGAGCTCCAGATTGCAAACAATACAAGTATCGAACCTTGTGTGTTTAGTCTGCAGCACAAAGTTTCAAGATTCATTCAAATCTCAAAATTACCTTCAGAACCTTTTTTCAATACATTTACTCATTCCTGTAAATTTCAAGACATAGAAACAGAAACTGAGCTAATCAGAAGGGGTTCCTGGGCCATCTAGTCTGACCCCTGGCTCCAGCCACCTCCGCTCATGACATGCTCAAGACAATGGATCATAGCCAGGCGTGCTCAATTGCCAGTGGAATAGATGCTGCTGATGGATTACATCCATCCTTTCCCCTGCAGCCCACTAAACACTACCCAATACTCCTCTATTGTGCAATGAAAAATCTACTTGTACTATGTTAAATGTTTCCAGTATTTTCTCTTTGATAAAATAGGATGCAGTAAAATTTTCCTGTTATAAGATTCTGTGTGTGCATGTATGTATTGTTCTGTTTTTCAGTGAAAGGTGGCTCAGGGAGTTTCAGAAGAGACAGTAAATTTGTGAAAATAATGTCTCCCTCTTTCCCGTGTCCCCTCTGCACACAAGAGAAACTATTTGATTCTGAGAGATGAAGTCCAAGTTCAGCCCAATATAGTTAATTACAAACATCTACATTTTGAACACCATACTATCCACTCCTTCACATTTCCAGGTATAGAGGCAGAAGCAGGAAGAGAAGGGGCCGGCGCAGATCCCATCTCGTTGTCAGCAGTGGCATTGGCATTCTTGAGGCCTCGTGGCTTGGCCTGATGTTGGCAGCAAGCTGCAATGGTGAGGCCAGGCTGCATTTTGAACTTTTAAAAGATTGTATACTTTATCCAAGGTGGTTAGGGCAGCATTTAGGAGATTATCTGATTAAATCCCTACAACTAGCATTGTGAGATATGTTGAAGTGTGAAATAGTGATGACCCAGTCCAGCCAAGTTCTTGGGGATTTGGACCCAGGACTTCATAGTGCATGTATGACATTCTCCTATGCTGCTTTAGTTCTCTCTGCTTTTTGCAATCAATGTGTGTTTGAAACCTGTATAGTTAAAATAGATAACTAGTGGCAAAGCCAGATTTATTGCTATGAAGATCACATTTTTCCTTGCTTGCCTTCTTACTAGTCATTTTGGAAGAAATGAGCAAGAGATACCCAAATTTATTTTAAAAAGCAGTATTTTAGCCACAGAACTTAAAATAATGAGACACTGAAAAGCCAAGTCTCACTTAGTATCACTGGATATAAGCTGCTGATAAATAAAATTTAACTGCAGACATTCAGAGAAGAAATGCAAAGCTGTCATATAAAGACAAATGTAGTATCCTGTGATGTGGACAGAAATGCAGAATGCTATTCAAAAGATTTTTACCTTCAGCTCTGCCACCAAGCTGCCTGAAGACTTAAATATAACTGATCCTTCATCCATGTCTGTTTCCACATCTATACATACAAGATTCTCTCTCTCTCTCGCTCAATTTCTCCCTGCATTACACACACGCATTCCAGCAGCGTTTAGGATACCACTACAAAACCCATATGTTTCTCTATAGCTCACTGCATGCAATGCTTGCAGTGCTATCCTTGCATGGCAGGCACATACACATATGCATATAAAGGAAACAAATGTAAATAGTGGGCCCAAAAGACCAAAGCTTGGTGCCCAATTACAAGTGTTCAGTCTTAAAAAATGTTATTTACTGTCCTGAGACTTTTGTATATGTAGGTCAGGATAGAAATGCCATAACATAACATAACATAACATAGCAAAAAGTGGGGGTATAACAAGAATTTTTTTAAAATATCTTTTTACAATAACTATTTAGAACACTTTTAATTTAAAACTAAGAACTATTCAACACTTCTGTTTCAAATATATAGATTAAAACAAGCAGTCCATATATATCTAAATAACCATCAAGATGGAACTGACCACAGTAAGAATATAACATGAACAGTAATGTCTTCAGACCTTTCAATGATAAATGGTACATGTGTTTCCTTTCAGGCATGAACTATGAGTTTTCTGACAACTGTTACAGTTCTCAGAGTCCACTTTTGCTTTCCATATCTTAAGCCCCACAGGAATATAATTTTAAAAGACCTGAATATCCACAATTATCACAGATTTGTCAAGAAAATACTCACACAGTTGGTTTCTACTTTGAAAAAAAAAGATCACAGGTGCCAAAAGAAACTGTGATTACTTCATACAATCCTCTTGTTATTATTAGCTGCTATTTCAGAAAGAGGATAATCTCATGAGCTTACCTGAGCAACCTAGTAAGTAGCCTGTGATTTTCTGTTTAGAAAATACTTATTCTACCACCTATTTTACCTTGTCCTTACATAAAGTTATAATTTGTCTTTTATTTACTAATTTATGTACTGGCAAAATATAATCTCTAAGTGGGTCATATATACGTATTAAACTCACACTGAAAATATTAAAAACAGTTCCCATTGGAGCAACATGATTAATTGAATAACAAGCCAGGGAAAGCCTGTGTGAACAAGCATAGTTTTTCGAGCCATTTGAAATGTGGAACATTTTCTGCCTCCCAACTACACAGGTTTTCCAAAAGGTGGGCACAGCTGCCAAAAAGGCCTACTGTCAAAATTCTCTTAATTTCAGAAGGACTCCCAAAGCCTACTCGGCTGATCTTTAATATCACCTGAGTGTATATAAAGGAAGGCTGCCTGCTCAATATCCTAGACAGATTGATTATGGCTTAATATGAAAAAAACCTTGTTTATTACTCAGTAGCTAACATGTTATGTGGGTATAACCTGGTGTTCCACTGAGCACCCTAGTTGCTGCATTTTGCACTTGACGCAATTTCTCAACTAGGCACAAAGCACCCCACATATAGCATAATACAGAAGACTAATCATGTGGCTACCACTGCATGGATCATCATGGCTGGCCACCCCTAGCCAGGAACAGGCATCGCTGGCATACCTGCCAAAGATGGAATGAGTGTTTCAGGCCACCAAGGTCACATGGGTTTCCAGTGATGCAGGAACACTTCCACACTATGTACTTACTCCTTCACAGGGAGTGCAGGCCCATACACTACAGCAAACAGGCCAGATCCTGGACATGGGAACTGCTGATCCATAGAGTGCCTGTTTCATTGTGATTCAGCCTCAGTTTATTAGCCATCATTATGCTAAACTGCATCCATGCACCATTCAAAATAAATGACTTCTCCTGATTCAGACATCACAGAGAAACAGATCCGGGTGCTATTAGCATCTTAATGACAGCTTGCCCAACCCTCCTGAACCCCACAAGATGGTGCCCTGTGGCACCCAACATTTAAGCTGCCATGAGGCCAAGCCTTAGTCACTCAGTGCTATTTCTGCAACCAAGCCTGCAAGTACAATGTAGACTAATCTAGATCTAAAACAGGGAAATTAGCACAAATATGTATTGAAAATCCAAAAACACAGGTTTTAATTTTTACAGGATGTTGTTCTCAAAAAACAAAACAAAACAAAACAAAACAAAACACAGAATCACATTCATTACTGAAAATTAAATTGGGTTCATGAGTATACCCAGTTGGGTTCATCCCCAGCACACTGACCCAAAGCCCAGATCTAGCAGGCCTAAAGAAAAAAGACAGAACAAAATGAAGATTAGGGAAATTAGCATTTATCAAATAAGAAGTAAAATGTGGCACTGTGGGCATGACAAGACAGGGGATTTGGAGGCTATGTGACCAAGGAAGCTTGGATGCTGCTAAAAACAGTGGGCTATGGGAACAGACATGGCTAGGTATAGGAAACAAGGAAAAGATGCAAAGCAAGAGAGGAGAGGCTATAATTACCTGGCTTCAGAGGAAGGGGAAATTATCATTAAAACAAACAATATAATCTTAAAATTAATAC